ACATGGTTCACGAACTTAAAAACTATTTTTTTAAATATATATATTTTTTAGTATATTTGACATTTTAAATAAATATATATTTTTTAAATAAAATATTAAAATAAAATAAAAGTTATCATATTGATATTTAACTTTATCTTCGAAATCTACTAATTCAAAACCTAGACAACTTTCAAGAGATACATTTGAGAGTCTAACTCAAAAACTACTAAATTGAAGATTAAATTTGTCTAAGATTTGAAGTAAATATTTAAACCTAATCTTAAAGACAGTATAATTCTTTTCATATGTAATCGAGTTGACTCATGAACCTAACGAGTCGAACTATGTATAATTCAAGTTCAGCTCATTTAGTTAACGAACTTAATTTTTCGCTCATACTCAACTCATTTGGTTCATGAACCTAGTTCAACGATTTAATTGTCGAGTCGAATTCCGAACTATCTTCGAGTTGGTTTGGTTCATTGCCAGCCCTACCTGAACTACTTAATTAAATCCATCTCTCTAACCATTAGTGCATACATATGCAAAAACTTTCTACTCAAAGCATCTGCTAATATATTAGCTTTACAAGGATGGTAACTCAACTCAAAATCGTAGTCCTTCAAAAACTCTAGACATCTCCTCTGCCGCATATTCAACTCTTTTTTATCAAACAAATACTTCAAACTCTTATGATAGCTGAAAACCTCAAACTGCAAACCATACAAATAGTGCCTCTAAAACTTAAGCACAAATACTATAATTGTCAACTCCAAGTCATGGGTAGGATAATTCCTCTCATAAAGCTTCAACTGTCTAGAAGCATAAACTACCACTTAGCCGTTCTGCATAACCATGCCCCAACCCATCTTAGAAGCATAAAAATACACAAAGAAGGATTCCTTTGCATTTGACAAGATTAAAAATAGTGCCATCATAAACCTCTTTTTCAACTCTTGGAAATACTCTTCACACTGAGCATCCCACACATGAGATTCCCCTTTTCGAGTCAACCGACTCAAAGGTAAAACTAAATTTAAAAAGCCTTCTATAAACCTTCTATAGTAACCATCTAAACCAAGTAAACTTATGTTCTCAGTAACTGACTTAGGAGTCTCCCACTGCAACATCGCATCCACCTTAGACGAAACAAGTACTATACCACCACTAAAAATAACATGACAAGGAAACTCACTTCTCACAACCAGAATTCACTCTTGGATAATTTAGCGTACAACTTCTTCCCTTGTTAACACAACTCGCAGATGTCTCGCATGCTCTTCATCTAATTTAGAATACACGAAGATGTCATACATGAAAACCACAACAAACTGATTCAAGTAAGGATGAAAGATCCTATTTATATATTCCACGAACATACTTGGGGCATTAGACACACTGAATGATATTATTGAGTACTCATAATGACCATAATGGCGTACATATATTGTAGATAGAGTCTCTATTATGAAAATGATGATTTGAGGCAAATGCTCATTAATATGCATTTTGGCAACATTGGAAGTGTTTGTAACAAAAAATGGATACTTACCTACAAAAATATAACGTCATTAAGTTGTGTACAATAATTATAATTTAACATGGTTATAAATGTAAAAAAAATTAAGGAAAGGAAAATGGATTCCATCATCATATATGTAACAACCTTCTTCTTTAACCTTTGCATACTGCAGTATACTAATAGTTTGCAAAGAAAAATCTGTCTGTTTATGTTTGTAAGTGAAGAATTGCAAAGTGTTCACTTCCCATAGGGTACAATTAATGGTGTTGTTGCTATTGTCATGAAATGGAGACAAAAAACACAGTCACTGAAACAAAAGTAAGAAAGAGAACCAAAATTAATGTTGAGTTATTATATAGCATACCTAAAATCTTTCAAGACCAAGTTAACCTACGGATTTTACTCTCTGATTGCGATTGTATGTATCCAATTTTGTCAACCACCCATATTACATCTGTATTTATATTTGAAACAATGATTAGAATGTGTATGCAAAGTGATTCATGAATCTGAAATGAGACATAAAAAGTATATATATAGGGAAATTTTTCTTCCATTTGCCTAATATTATATCAACAAAAGAGGTGAACTTAATAACTTTGTCAGGGATTTCATGTTTGTTGTTGTTTCCTATTGTTGTTCCACCCGTGAATTTCAATAGATATTTATGGTTAGATGCTTTGAACATTAAATCATTCAGTTGAGCTTAGAAGTTTACAATGGTGCAAGTCCTATTAACCGATAAAATTGAATCGAATGCTTGCTTAAACATTGTTAGAACAATAACATGAATATCAATACCCTGGAAATGGTAAACCTTAAACATTAGTTAATTCCAAAACCTAAGCCAAAAATGACTAGATGCAACCTCACCTATATTACAGAGATATAAAGCAAAATAAATGCAAAGATACAAAGGAAGCCTCAAATAATGTATACCCATTGACATATGTAACACAAACAACTAATAACCTTGATGTTAAACCATAAACCATAAAAAATACGAATCATAAACTTGACATCAGCTGTAAAAACAACTATCATTAAAATCACAAACCATAATGAAATAGGATCGAGGACAACTATTAAAAACCACGAAGTTCTGACGAAAAAAATGGAAAAATCTTGAAAACCAGATAACATGAAACATACACAACTCTAAAAACAAATGAAACATAAATAGGTAAAAGGAAAGAAACACAACCATAAAAATGAAACAAACATCAAAAGGTAAAACGAAATTAGCAGGGACACCATACACTCACTTATTTGCCTATAACGATAAGCTCAAAATGCTCATTTGTATTAGAAGTAACCTTCCATTTGTGGTGGACTTTGACAACAATTTTCCAAAGTTATTTACGACCATTAATGTCCTTGATCATCTCAAATGATCATGTTGAAGAAAAGTTAGATGAAGACAATGGGAAATGGAGTTTGAAAGTAGATTTGATGTTGTCCTTATGGAAGAAAGAAGAGAGAAGGTTGAGATGAAAAAAGTGTTGGAAAATGAATGAGATACGTGTAAGAAGAGATATGATGTGTTTGTAGAAGGAAGAGAAATAAGAGAAAACGTGCAATAGGGGGATAGAGTGACACGACATTGCTTATTTGAAAAATACAAAATTTTGAAATCTGTATTGTTAAAGAAGAAAATGTTAAGCTGCATAAAGAAAAAAATAAGTATAGCAAGTTACCAAATATATGTATTATAATAAAAACAAATGGAAGTTTAGTAGACCCAATGGAGATATTCGATTTGTTTGAAATGAGATGGTGCAATTGGTTGAAAATTAATTACTTTATACACATTTTCCCCTTAAAAAGAAGATGTTGTAGATTAAGAAGAAAGGATAGTATGGTTTTTTTTTTCAAAACTTATTATTTTCTTATATGATAAATATTTTATTATTTTGTAAAAAAAATATTTTGCTATAAACTCAATTTATGAGATACTCTGTCTCTTCGTTCCTTTTTAAATGTCATTTTTTATATTTTTTTTACACATAAAAGAAAGTTAATAATTATTGATATTTTTTAAGAAATAATTATTGTTTTTTATCTATTTTATTCTTAATTTTTTATTAATTTATTTGACTTTTTTCTCTCAATAATAAATACCTAAGAATAGTTTTCACAAAATAACAATTAATATTACTTTAATTTTAAAATAACACTTAAAAAATTATTTTTAAAAAAGAAATAACATTTAAGAAAAAATGGAGAGAATAACTGCTCACCAAAGAAATTTGCCTTAGATTAAAAAAAATCACCAGAATAAAATCTTATTGTTGCATGACTGAAAATGAAAATCTAATCATCATTGGGAGAACATTTGGATGAAGCCTAAAAAATCATAGAATTGAAGAATAATCTATATCATATATAAATTGATATTTGATTTTAGTTAATCTATTTTTATTCTAATTATATATTTTTTAGTTTTTATTTTAAACTTCAACTTCTCTTTTATTAATTCTTATATGGTGAGTTGCACAACTATTTCATTCAACTTTTTTAATAAATAATTTAATTTATAATCTATTAGTGTCCATGACACTGTCGTATCCGTCTGTCCGCTTTTTAAATATTTAGACGTTTAAAAATATGAACATATTTTTTGTGTGTTTATTTTTTTAATTTAATTTCTATATAAAAAATTGAATAAAATAGTTATACAAACTATCATATAACAGTTAATAAAAAAAAGTTAATAAAAAAAAATTGAATTTTAAAATAAAAAACAAAAGAGTATATCTGAAATAAAAATAGACTATAACAAATCCAAAATTTCATTTATATATTATAGATAATATATATATATATATATATATATATATATATATATATATATATATATATATATATATATATATATATATATATATATATATATATATATATATATATATATATATATATATATATATATATAAAAAAGAAAAATTTAGTTTTAATGTAACCTATTTTTATTTCAATTATATCCTTCTAAATTTTTATTTTAAACTTCAACTTCTCTTTTATTAATTCTTATTAAACAACTATTTTATTCAATTTTTTTAATAAATAATTTAAATTAAAATAAAAAATAAACACATATACAAAATATTTTTTATTTTTTTAAACGTATGTATCTTAACTTAAAAAAGCGGACACACACCAGGAATGTCCGTAAAGTATTTTGAAACTCTAGAAAGAATTTTGATCGTAAAGTATTTTGAAACTCTAGAATGAATTTTGATCTAAAACCCTGTAAATATAGTAGGGTAAATATGTCATTTAACATTTAACATAACCGTGACGTGTATCATTTCAAAACCAAAAAAAAAAAAAACAAGCGGTGAAATCATAACCATTCATTCCATTCTTCTGTTTGTCTTCATACTACTCTTGTTCCAACTTCCACCCTCCAACTCCCAAGTTTCCAACCCTTTCTTTTTGTCTTCTTGCGCCTTTCAATTTTCCCGCAAAAGGGTCGTTTCGTTTCTTCAACTGTATGGCACCGATCACTCGTAGAACCTCTTTCCCCAAAGTTCTCATTGAGAAAGACTCTGACTCGGAACAGAGTTCATCTGATGATGAAGAAGAAGAAGAAATACTCGTAGAAGACGAAAATGGGGTTACTGATAATGCCAAGATTAAGAAACTGGAACTCGGTTTTGTTGCAAACAGTAAAGGGAAAACACCCATTACTTTATCTCTCCAAAAAGTTTGCAAGGTTAGTTTTTTTTTTTAACAAATGGGGAAAAAGTTTATTTTTGATGCTAAGTTGTTTCTTTTTTCCTAATGGGTATTGTGATTTTGTTTTGTTTTGGTAGTTGATTTTGTGTATTGTTATTATGGTGTTGTTGCAGGTGTGTAAGAAGCCTGGACATGAAGCAGGGTTTAAGGGTGCTACTTATATTGATTGCCCAATGAAACCTTGTTTTCTGTGTAAAACTCCGGGTAAGTGTGATAACTATTATCTTTTGCGTGATGTTGTATTGGTATGCTGATATATAATGGATTTGAACATGTATCATATTGATCTATATAATAAGTGTTTTGATTGGTTGAGAGTATTTGATGGCTTGTTTGTGAAAGTGATGTTGAGCTCTAAACTTGATTTTATACGGAATGAAAGTGTTTTGTTTTGGGTGTATAGCTTAGTTATTTGGGGAAAGAGTGGCATTCGGCTTTAGATTTGGGTGTTGAGCTCTAAACTGCGACATACCTTTAGATTTGCTATTTGGGGAATAGTGGCATTCGGCTTAAACCGAAGAATCTGCTTGTTGCCTAAACTTGACATATTGTTATAAGAAAAATGTGAAGAGTCAAGGAGTATTAGTCCTATATTCACCATAATATGTTAAGCTTTCAATATATATAAGCTATGCTTTGCATCAATTTCTATTTTTTATTTGTATGCAACATGTCTTTTGATAGATATAATTGAGTTATTTCACATGCTATGCTTTCGCTATTAGTCGAAAATGCTATCTGCTATTTTCCTGTGTGAATTTCTAGAGTTCCACTATTTTTCCTTAATTTGCCATTGATGACACTGAACCAACATAAAAACCATATTTCATCATAAACTCTCACCTAGACACTCACTCTTTATTTTATCAATTAGAAATATTATCTTTGTGACACTGTCTCATATTAGTCTATCTAGTTTGACAGTCAGTAACTTGTTCAGCTTTTGAATGTATTTTTGTTTTTATATTTACCATCTTTTGTGATTCTTAATTGAAGGGCATACTACTTTGAATTGTCCGCATCGGGTCTCTACTGAGCACGGTGTTGTTCCGGCACCCCGCAGAAAAACAACTAAACCTTTGGAGTATGTGTTTGAACGCCAGCTAAGACATGCCATTCCTCTGGTAAGTCTAACTTTTCTTTTTTAACTAATATTCAAATCTTACTTTAGTTGTGAAGAATTTGACGATTTCTTACTTCTACTGCGTCATAAATTTGCAATTGTGATTCTTTTACTGTTTTATTTATTTCAATGTGGTATCATTGTAATTTAGTTCAAACATATTACTATATGTTTCCACAGCATAACACTGTACAGACTTTTCTTGCCGGAACCCTTAGGTTTAAGGCATATGTGGATTTTTTTGCTTTTTCTTAGGGTCCTTTCAATCTCTTCATTGTGGAAACAAATAATTGGATTTTTCTTATTTTTTGTACGCAGAGTCTTGAATTTGAAACCATATATTCCTCATATGATTGCATAATGTTTATGTAATATCTTCTTCCAAGCTATTCATCGTAGAGCTTAGTGGCGATTCTTATTGAGATTCACGTTTTCCTGTTTGATGTTGTAGATCAAGCCAAAATGTGTGATCCCGGACCAAGTGCATTGCGCTGTTATCAGATATCATAGTAGACGGGTAACAAGTTTGGAGTTCCACCCGACAAAGAATAACATCCTGTTATCGGGAGATAAGGTTATACTCATTATCATCAATGAGTTACATTAGTTGGGAATAATTTTAAAGTTGCCTTTTTTTAGCCACTGATTTTTTTCTCCCGGCTTTGATTGTACTAGAAAGGACAAATCGGAGTCTGGGATTTTGAAAAAGTATACGAGAAAGTAGTCTATGGGACCATACATTCTTGTTTAGTGAATACCATGAAGTAAGTTGCTTAATGAAACCACGACCTTCGTGTAGTTGTCTCGTTGCTTTCATCATTTTGTTTATTTGCATGTTTTAGCTTGAAGTTCTAATGTTAGACTCTAAATGGGAAATTTTGTAGGTTTAATCCTAGAAATGATTGCATGGTCTATTCCGCATCCTCAGATGGAACCGTTAGTTGTACTGACTTGGAGACTGGAATATCATCCTCTCCGATGAACCTGAATCCGGATGGATGGCAGGTAACATTTTCTCTCAATGTTTCTTTCTTAACTTATTTGCTACTCATGTCTCTTTAACCTCTTGACCGCGTGAGTTTACCCGAGGTAATTCTGTAAATGTCTGTCTTGTCTTTTTGCAACAAAAAGTTTATTTGTATGTGTTGTTTTTATTAGGGTCCGAACACTTGGAAAATGCTCTATGGCATGGATGTTAACTGTGAGAAAGGTCTCGTGCTTGTTGCCGATAACTTTGGTTATCTTCACTTGTAAGTAACTTCCTTTGTTTTACCTGCATAGTATTGGGTTTTACTTTCTCTACACGTTCATTTTCCAACATGTTAGCATGGCAAAAGTATGTAACCCCTTTCGCCATTGATAGGGTTGACATGCGGTCCAACGACAGGAATGGTGATGCAGTTCTGATTCATAAAAAAGGTAGTAAAGTTGTTGGTATCCATTGCAATCCACTTCAACCGGACATCCTTTTGACTTGTGGAAATGATCATTATGTGAGTTCTTCCCGTTTATTCATATTGATTGATATTGAATTGAAGTTAGTTAAAAAAAATTGTACATTTGTTTTATGTTAGAAATAGCAGCCTATGAAACAAATTTTTTTTTAGGCTCGTATATGGGACCTGCGTCGCTTAGAAGCTGGATCATCACTTTGCAGCCTTGAGCACAAGCGTGTTGTTAACTCTGCGTATTTCTCTCCAATATCTGGAAACAAAATTCTTACTACATCGCAGGACAACCGTCTTCGTATATGGGATTCTATCTTCGGTAACATGGAATCTCCTAGCCGAGAAATTGTGCATAGCCATGATTTCAATCGCCATTTAACACCCTTCAAAGCTGAATGGGATCCAAAGGTGGCTTTTTTAATTTGAATTTTACTCCTCTCTTTACGATGTTTCTTTTATTCTTATTTAAGGAACAATATTACAGGATTCATCCGAGTCACTTGCTGTTGTTGGCCGTTATATAAGTGAAAATTTCAACGGTGCAGCCCTGCATCCTATTGATTTTATAGACATTAGCACAGGGCAATTGGTAGCGGAAGTCATGGACCCAAACATCACGACCATCAGTCCAGTGAATAAGCTGCATCCACGCGATGATATCCTAGCTACTGGAAGTTCTAGGTATGATTCGTCACACATGATTTTACTAGTAGTCCTAAACAACTAGAAGATAAAGAGCTTTTGAATCTTAATGGTCCTAAGTTACCTGTTATAATCTTTCAGATCTCTATTCATTTGGAAGCCCAGGGAGAGATCCGAGCCCGTTGAGGAGAAAGATGAAAGGAAAATTATTGTATATGGAAAAGCAGAGAAGAAGCGCGGTAAGAAGAAAGGTGATGATAGCGATGATGAATCCGACGGTGATGGGTTCTCCAAGCTCAAGAAGCCCAAGTCCAAGCAAACTGAGTGGAAGTTGGCCCGCTGCTCAAAAAAAGGATAATCACTAAAATATTCCGATTTTTTGTGTTTGAAGGTTTTCTAATGCAACTGCTAACCCTGTATAGGTTTCCAAGCACACCCTTCATAGTTTTGTTTTTTGAGGTTGGGGTAGTGATTTTGTGTAAGAATGCAGGTCTGAATGGCTTTTTATGTGACTCACTTTTTTTGGGTACTAATAGTGTGTCTTTTTTATATTTAAAGTTGTTAGCTTTTATTGGATTTTACACTTATATCTTCATGTAAAAGTGTAGCCTTCAAGCTTTATATTGAGATCCTATCTTATGCATTCTTGTTTTAAAGATACAGAATGTTCATTTGCATAAATACATCAGCTATACCACATTCCACATCCTCCCAGAGAAATTGGGTCGGTTTTTTTTAGAAATGATTTTTTAGTGTTATATATTTTTGTTTAAAAAAATTATAATTTTTTTTCATAAAATTTCAAAATTTTTAATTTTGTTTAAATAGTTATTGTTAAAATGTTATTTTAAATATTTTATCATTTTATTATACTTTGTTCATGTTGCAATAGTTCATGTTTGTTAGACCATGTGACACATTTCACATCCATCTGACACATGTGCCAATTATTCATGTTTGTTAGACCAACAACCAACTTGATTGTTTCAATCCTAGCAATAGGTGCAAATACTTCGTCAAAGTTGACTTCTTCTTTCTGAAGAAATCCTTTCACCACAAGTCTTGCCTTGTGTCGAGTTACTTCTCCTTTGGGATTCAACTTCACCTTGTATACTCACTTCACATTAATTCTCTTCTTGTCTTGAGGCAATTCGACAAGTGACCAAGTATTGTTGACTTCGATGGACTTCAGTTCCTCATTCATTGTTTTTACCCACTTCGAATCCTTCAATGCCTTAGCTGCATTGACTAGTTCGACATCTTCATGGAAAATATAGTGTACCCTCTCACCTTCATCATTGACCACATCATGTGATGTAATCACACATTCTTGCAACCTTGCAGACATGTGTCTTTTTCTTTGAGGCCTACTTGTGCTTGCTTGACCTCTGACTTCTTCTTATCGAACTTCTCTTTCGACTTTACATAAGATTCTCACTGAATCTTTCTTGACATTTTCAGTCGAATCTCATTCTTTAAGCTCATCTATGATCACGTCCCTACTGATCACTACTTGCTTGTTCATTGGGTCGAATAACTTGTATTCTCCAGTCAAATGATATCCTATTAGGATCATTTGACTCGACTTATCATCAAGTTTTCTTCTCAACTGATTTGGTACACGTCTATGTGCTATATATCCAAATACCTCTAAATGACTCAAGTTAGGCTTGACACAAGACCAACATTCTTCTGGCGTAATTCCTTATAGCTTATTCGTCGAATATTTGTTCAAGATGTATGTTGCAAAAGACACAGCTTCTCCCCATAATTCTTTGGGTAGATGCTTGCCTTTTAACATATTTCTCACCATATTAATGATGATTCTATTCTTCCTTTATGCAGTTCCATTCTCCTGTGGAGTGTAAGGTGACACCACCTCATGCACAATCCTTTCTTTCTCACATAATGCGTCAAAGTCTTTCACACATACTCTCCACCACCATCAATCCTTAGAATTTTGAGCTTTCAACCACTTTGTCTTTCGACCATAAATTTAAACTTGCACTTTTTTTTTGTAATGAAATATTTGATGCTTGTAATGTGAATCTTGACATTGAATTGTAATGTGTGACTTGTTTCTTAAGAAAAGTGTTTTTCCCTCCAAAATTTGAATTTTGAAAATTTGAACTTCTTGAATTTGAACTTGAATTAGCATGCTTTAATCAAATAATCAACCAATCAATTTACATGTAAATGACCCCAAAGAGAAATTGATCAACAAAAGTCAACCTCCAATGGTTGAATTTGTTGATCAAAGTCAAACTTGCACATGACTTCCAAATTCACATGTCCATGATGTAATCACACATAACCAATATGTCTAGACCAATACTAGGGTTTTCCAATGACTTAATCTAAGAACAATGATCAACCAAATTTTTGTTATGCTCACAATCAAAAAGTCAAGATGAAGCATAATGAAACTCATAAGCTTGATTCACAACTGCACCATAGAAACCCTAGCACATGAATTAACCATAATTCAATGCTTTGGATCATAAATAACAAAAACCTTTGAATCAATGGTTTTGGTTGAAACATGTAGTTGCAAATGAGTGTCTTATGATGGATGATTAGGGCATGGAAACATGGAGATGAACCATTGACCATGGGCAAGATGAAATGAAAAAAGGTAGAACAAATTTGGGGGTATGACACCCATACCAATATCCATAATGAGATATTGGTTCCTTCTGAACATCCAATTAACTAATTTGTATGTTACGTTATGGATAAGAAAGATCTAATTCGTCTTCAATTAAATTATGATTGAGAGTTAGAGGATTTCTATGTCGTTCCTAAAGATATAAATGATTTTATGTTTAGAAATGAATGGTTTCACATAGGGATACCAAAATTGTGGTGCGCGTAAGTATAAAATTAAATATCTCATTATTGAACATTCATTGTGTTTTTATAAAACTAACTCCTAACTTTTTTTCTTGCATTTTGTTTAACCATTTAGGCACATTCATCATGTTAGTATAGAATTAAATAAATAAGATATTTATAGATTCTTGGATCCATTTAATATTAGATTTACAAATGATTCTTCAAAAGTGATTTAAACATTCGTATCATCGCTATTAAGTGAGAGGAATATAGAATGTTACTTAGCACCATTTATCAATAAGTGAGTAATTTTGAAATTGTACTGATTTCTCTATTATAGTTAGTTTCCATATTTTACCAAATACATACTAAGTATGCTTGTGTTCATTTAGAGGTCATTGGCAATTTATCATCATCTCCCTTAGTTACCTATGTTCCTTAGGCATACCACTTGAACCAAATATGAGACATATTATTTCTACGTGAGTTTATATTTTATGAGTAGTATATACTTTTTTTAGTAGTGTAATTATCTTAGCTATAATATGTTTAAATCATTTTCAGTATACAGAGTTGTGTAGTGACACAATATGTTGAAAGGATTTAGAAATAAAAAGTCCATATTTTGTACGCCTTCGGTAAGTGCATTACTTAAGACATTCATTTATCTATAATTATATGCATGTGTGGTTATATATTCATGAAATATTTAAATTTGTAAATGAGGAACCATAAAGGAGGATACAAGTGTTGTTTTTTTTGTTATGAAACACATGTTAAACACTGTCTCTGTTGGCATTGTTGACTCTTAGGATCAAGTATATATATTTACAACAACATTTTAATGTTTAAGTTTCCTATTATTTCAAATCATGTGATCTTCAATTTTTTATCACTTTATATATATATATATATATATATATATATATATATATATATATATATATATATATATATATATATATATATATATATATATATATATATATATATATATATATATATATATATATATATATATATATATATATATATATATATATATATATATATATATATATATATATATATATATATATATATATATATATATATATATATGTTTAACGATACTACACTATTCTCACAAGAAGACTTTATAAACATTCATACACGTTGGAAGTTTTGCTTCAATGCGCTTTATAGACAAGGTTGATCACACATGAATTTATAATATAAGTTTTCTATATTTTGGTGTTTGATGTAGTTGGTTAAATTTTTGTATAGTCATATTTTGTAATTATGTGTTTGTTATATTTTTGAGTTTGATGTAAAATATATGGTATAGCCATATTTTGGTCACAAAGATATACATATATGCTGATTCTGTTGTGGTAAAATATAGCGTATAAAATACATGTACTAAAAAAATGGGCATATATGGAATAATTAAAAAGCTATTTAAAAAAAAAACAAAGTATTTCACCATGGTTGATTAAGATGGTCATGGTGATAGGTAGAGCACCAATTATTATATACCATACTATGTTGGGAATCAAACCCATGTCCTTTATAAGAAGTAAAATTTGACTACTTTCCTAAAAAACGACTCAAATTCTATTATAGTTGGAGTTTTATATGAAATACTTTGCAAGTTAATAAGTGCACTCATTATACATGTAACTTTACCATTTATTGGTACTTATAAAAAATATGCTGAAATTTCACAACTTTCTCCTCTGTCTCAAATATTGCCAAAAATCATTTTTAAACCATGTAATTCTCCTATAAGTACTGCTAAAAATATTAAAAATAATTGATAAAACTACATGATGACTGAATGTCATCACTTACTCAATAAGCGTGATTGCAGTTGCTCATTTTGATTCTCTTTAGAATTTCTTATGCATATTTTCTCTAGTGCACGAAAACTCCATTTCTTGTGTTCAAAAACTCCATTTCTAAGAATTAGGACAAATTCCCTAGATCTCGTGTTTCAGGATCTAGGAGTTTGCTTCAATCCATATAGAGTTTTTCTTAATTTGTACATTTTGTTGTTGTTTGATCTCAAAATATGGTGGTTGCTTGACATACATTTCTTCTTCTAGAGGTTATTGACAAAGACACACTTTACATCTAACTGGTACATATTTCAACCTTTATATGTTATTTTGATAATGCCAAGTCTTGTAATTGGTGCATACACCTCATTAAAATCAATGCCAGACCTTTAAAGAAAACTTTTTACAAATAAAATTGTCATATACTTAGCTATTTCACCATTTGGCCAGAGTTTCAACTTATATACCCATTTCACATTTATAGCCTTCTTGTTTGACCTGTTTACGAGCTCCTAATTTTTGTTCTTCTGAATTTTCCTACTTTGTAGCTTCTTGTCATTTTACATCTTTCAGTGCTTGGTTTAAATCACTTGGTTACGATTCAACCGTCATGTTTTTTCTATTAGATCATCTTCTTCATCTACTGCTTGGTTGTGAAATCTTTTGTAATCATTTAATCTCACTAGTTGAGTTCTTTCCTAGT